AATCTGGACGATTTGGCAAGGGCGTCGGGCGTCAAATTTGTCTGGTGGCGGAGCCCCGACAAACAAGATCCAAGACAAATCTCACTTCATTTTTAATCCTGTGAAAAGTTTAAATTGTTCGTGGACGATATTAGCCCGTCTGGCGGCCGGTGCCCTGGTGCGTAAAGAGGAGCCCGGACAAATTCGCGCTCGCGGCTCGTGCGACGGGGCGCAGTTTGCAAACGCATCCATCTTGCAGGGATTAGCGGAGATTTGCGACACATCACCGCCAGACTTTCTCTCCTGCCACACCTCATTGCCGTTGAAAAGGCCCTCTCACTAACGCCCGCAAAAATAACCTGATCATCCGTCTATTTGCGCGCGAAATATGAAGTTGCTAGATAATCACCCGTATCACGCGCGACTTTCGTCAAATTTCAACATTCCCTTTTGCATCGCTGCTTCTCCGTAATTATCGGAGCGAACCATCTAGAATGAGCCGAAAAACAAGAGTAGATAACTATTCGCGCGTTGAAGCAGTCATCTTGCCTATCTTACTATTTGAAGGCGTTTTTCGCAGGGTCCGGCGGAGTTGAGATTTCGACCTAACTCGGCCAACCTCCAGCTCGTATTTTTACGCAGAGTTTTCGTCGGCTCATAATTTTCACTTTGATTTCTTTCCTTCAGCACGAGAATCTCTACCAGAAAAACCAAGATTCTCAGCAATTTATGATAGGCTTAACAAATACACAGTTAAAGAATTCTACAGCCTCGGAAGTCAGAATCGAAGCAAAATCTGATTTGCGATCTAGAGCATTTAACTCAAATTGAGATGTTTAACAGAACCAAGGAGGGAGGAGGGATGCATCATCGAATAAAATACTGAATATTGCGATAGACTTTGCCTACACCACTGCACTCAAGGATCCAACTGGTATGACGCAAACCTACTTTGCAGACGAGTACCAATTCGTGATGCATTTAACCATCCTCGAGAACATCATTGCGGTTCTAAAGGTTAGGTATGCCCTCGTACCGGCCGTGCTAAGGAAAAGCGCCGTATGAGCATTCAAATGTTGCCAAACTTCCTCTCAAAAAATATTCATATTTGAGGAAATTTATACGTATTCTTCTTTGAGAATTTTAGATATTTTAGATCAAATTACGAACAAAATAATCTGTAAAATTGGGAGAAAAATATTTATAAACTTTTCCAAGAATTCGAAATTTATCAAAGGAAATTTGGCAACGTCTGAAAGTGAGTACGGCGTTCTTCCTTAGCACGACAGTGCATAGAGCCTACCTCATCCCCTGTATATATATTTAAAAAGATAAAAAAAAAAAAGTTATTCACAGCTTCTGCTCTCCAAACGCGCGTTTTCCCAGTCATGCTACGCGCTATTCATCGGGGATCGCACGATGCCATTCATCCTCCTCGACCACAGACGGTGGATCCAGATTGCAAAGCACGAGCAACGAGCAATGGGGGATGACCTTGAGGCCCGACGAGCTCCTCGCTTACGGATCCAGATCTGGTACACCGCAATGACTGACAGTCCGCCTCCTCCGGTGTGAAGTTTCACGCCGACTCGTGGATCTTAATTGCCGTTTCGCTAATCACCACCAGCAGCAGCGACCCAAGGCGCGCGAACTTCTTCGCTTCGGCGAAAACACCAGCAGCGGTTTCCGTTTGAAGTTTCCGTTGCAGCGGTTGTTTGTCGAAAGCTGGCCCGGCGAGAAAGCGCGAAATCGATTTCCGAGAAAAGTCCACCCCAGAAATATGATTCCGACGTGCCGGAGTGCTCGTGATACCCGAACCATTCCAAGAATCCTCATGGCTATGCAGCTCAATTAAAGTGTGAAATTTTAACGACGATCTGACATGCGCTGCCAATACACATTTTTGGAAATAGATCACTCTCAAAATTACTCTGATGCTTCCTCACTTATGTAACAGTCGAATCATTGCTGAGTGAGTAACCCGACAGACTCGAGAACTTAATTGAAGCCATCATCGTTACTTGTCATGCATTTGGTGTAAGATGTAACCGATTGCCATCCCCTTGAATGTAAACCATATTTATCGAAACAGTTTTTTTCTCTCTATTTGCATCTACGTAGATGCAAGGTGCAAGATACAATGATCCGAAGCTTGGGCATATTCGTACCGGTACGAACCACGTACGGACCAAAAGTAAATGGGGAAACATTTTCCCTGTCTTCATCGGCGGATTCAGCAAATTGGCAACATTGTAACTTCTCCATTAAAATCTATGGAAATGTATCGATTCTTGAAAGGGGCATGTTCTCCGACAAGAATCGATTATTTAACATAGGTTTAATGGGAGGAAATCCTGTGCTGCCAAATACCTGGATCCGCCCCTGCCTGTCTTACGAGTTCGTGTGCTTAATGTCGTACGGTCGGGATAGCAAGGATTTGCACGAGCCTAGTCAGAGAGCGTATGGACTTCCCACAGGAAGTCGAACTAGGGACCTAAGTTTCCCGGGAAAGTCAGTGCCGGGAACGGGAAAAGGAAAATTCTCGGAAATTAGCGGGAAAGCTCCTGGGAACGGCTCGAGTGGTTCTCCAATGTGGGAGAGATTACCGTGACTATTCTAATAAGAGTGTGTTCTCCACCGTCTCTGGGTTTAACGAGACAAAAACAAATAGAGCCGCTTAAGGCAGAGCCTCGACGTAAGGCACGGAATGAAATACTCGCGTCGAGGATCGTCCAGGAATCGTCGAAGGGATCATTACTCGCGGCGCTGACGATGCTTATCAGCGCCGATTTCACATTTCGTCGCTTGGCTGACGTAAGGGCGTAACTACAATTTTAGATGAACCCGGAAAAGCATTGAGTTATACGGACTACAGGGTTCATCGCGAAGTGTAGTTACGCCCTTATGTCAGGAGGGCGACGATTTGGCGAACGCTGGCGGGACGGGGCGCGCCGCGCGGGAGTGAAAGGGAGTTGACATTTGAAATTTTAATCCGGCCGTAATTGACGAGGAATTCCTCGGCTCGGATAATCGTCGTCAGGATCGAATGGGACCGATTTTTATGAACGTGCAAGCGCAACGGCAACGGGAACGGGCAGCGAGCAAATGAAGACATAGACGCACGATTAGAGCGGAGAAAAAACTCCGAGGGGTTTTAATAGTTTTTCGACGGCCGCGAACCGCGAGAAATATGCGACGGCCGTCCGGATTGAGATAAAAATTTTCAATTAACCCGGGCACCGGTCACCTGCGCGGAGAGGCTCATTGTTTCCCGATGACAAAGGGCCGGCCCGCGGGGCGGCGGGGGAGAGCCGCGATAAATCGGTAAAAATTCTATCGGTGTAAATTCCGAGACATGCAGGCTATTTTTCGCACCGATCTCGAGGGCGAGATTAGAAGACTAGAATTCGTCAAAAAGAGTGTCGAGGCGGCACCGAGACGCGATTTGTGGACTGACGAGGGATGATCCGGGGGCGGCGGGGCGGGGGAAGGAGTTAGTTTTGATGTTGATTTAGCACAATGAGCAATTAAAACCCGATCACAATGAGACGCGGTGAGGAATTTCAGATGCCAGCGCATTCTTGCGCTGCCGGCCATAAAACATAGCGACACATCTTGAAGCGGTTCCTGCAGGTGTATGTGCCAGTATACCAGTATACGAGTGCGCAGTGTTACTGCTTCGGATCCTCGGCTATCTCTTCACAGTTCCTCTGACCGGTCACTCGCTGCAGTGGACACGGTTTTCAGATGAATTTATGGCAAGATCCAATTATGAAGACTGTAGAATCCGTTTTCAGGACACTGGAAAAAGAAGTCTCTTTTATCCTCCGAGTCCGGACTCTTGAAAAAATTGACAAAAAATATTCTTGATTCAATCGGATTTTTGTTTGAATCAAAAGGAAATCCACTTTAATTATGAGATTTGGCTCTCGACTCAAACAAAAATCCGATTGAATTAAGCGTATTTTATCTTGTCAAATTTGTCAAGAGTCTGGACTCCAGATTCAAGTTTTCTAGTGCGATCATATAACAGTAGTCTTCAGGGATGAATATCCGAACTTCTAACGCTTAAAATCACACGAATACGTATTGAATTCTAATCGAAAAGGAAATTAAAATCTGTGAAGATATAGTAATGTTTTTTCGATTCTTTTTTTTTGAGACAAAAACCAATTTTTTATTCATAATTCCAATTTGAGTGAACTTTCGCAAACGAAAGAACCGAAAATAGGGGGCTCGGTTTATGATACGAGAACGGAAAGACACTGCGGTGTGATTAGACCTATTAGTCGTGCCGGTTGGTCGATTCTCTGTAAATTGATTTATTGATCCGATTGACGTCTATGAAAGAGGAGGAAGCCGAGTACCCAGCCAGAAAGCGGAGCCAATAGGCACTTCTAGCCGGTGACCCGGTGAGCCGAATCCAAATCGCTTATCCCCCTGCTTTAACTCAATTGTAATAGATAAGGTCATACTCTGTTAGTGTCTCAAGATTGGCCCTAAATTAATCCTTCCCACCACTTCAATGTCTTTTCTTTTTTCCGGAACCCGAGTTAGTTCATGGGAACACTGCTCTTTGGTTTTTTCCTTCAACGCAGTCCTTAACGGCACGGGCACTTTTCTGACAGAAAATTTTCCAGGGCTTCCAAAGAATAAGAGGACTCATCGGTGGAGTTGAGACAAGAAACTTAGAGACTTCTTCTTGTACAGGATATGGTCATGTCACTGCACACATGCTGCCGTGCTAAGAAAAGAACATCGTATGAGCCTTTGGACGTTGCCAGATTTTCTTTACTAAAAACCGAATCTACTGGAAAAATTTTGAATTTTTCAGATAATTTTGTTTGCAACTTTATCTTTACATATTCGAAAATTTCACGAAAAAATATGCATAACTTTCCAAAAATAATACAAGTTTTATTCGGATTTTGGTGACTCTCGAGTGTTCTTACGGCGTTTTTCATTCGCACAGCAGCATGGTCCTCTTATGTTAAATAAGTAAATATTTTATTGAAACTTACCACATCAGGCGTACTGGCTCCGTCCGTATGTGAGGTAGAATCTGCATTACTCCTTCCGTCGTTACCATTTGTGCTACCACCGAGCTCTGGTAAAGGTTTCGACGTATCCCGCTCGTCTATAACTAGATCTATTGGCATTTTTCCCTTCAAACAGCTTATGTATCGGTGACAAAAATTGTCACATAATTCATGAACCTGAAATCAAACAGAAAAAAACCATGACATTACTACCCAAAAAATAACTCCTCCATGACAATACGAAATTTATGATCCTCAATTATTCCACAAAATACACTTAACAGAATAACGCGGTTATTGCATTGATATAAACCATGAAATATCCTCCTAGAGGATAAGCATTTGGTTTGAAATGATCGTAAAATATAGTTTTAAAATCAATAAACATTACATGGAAGTAAACACCTGTTGTGAAAACACACCTTTTTGACACTGTGTGTGTTAGTGAGGTACATTTCTCATTAAAATTTCCGTGATTGCATACCTAGTAAAAATAAAACATTGACATAACAATCATCCGAGGCACGCAATGATCTTCAATGATCATCACGACAGTGTTGCCACATCATAACATGGCAAGTAGCAGATTCTTTGCTTGGAAACTCGCTTACTTTTAAACGCAAATTTCAAGTGAGGAGACAAGAACGGATTATATCAAAATCCGGCGACTTTTTCTCACTGATAATTAAAAAGATCTTTTTCCCCTTCGGATGATCATGTGGACTACATTTTTCAATATTCGAAACTAAAATTTCTAGCTCAGATTAAGAGTAAAGTATGTACCATTGGTTTCCCTATATACATAAGTGTTTTTACGGATGGGGTAGAAATTGTAATTCCAAATTTCAAAATGAGGTCCATGTGATCGCCATCATGATGCTTTATCCTGACAGGGGTAGGATCCTTTAAGAAAACCTGATAGATGCAAGAGATTCAACGCCGCGTAGCAAGGTTAGAAACCCAGCACTTGGACCATCAATTCGAGTCGGGCGTAAATTTCACGGGCGATGAGGCCCCGTCGTCAAAACCGGACGGCCGGCGCGCGCCACACCCGGAGCAACCAAGAACCAAAAAAGAGGAGGCTTTTCCTCGGCTCCGGAGCCCGGAGCAGGCTACAGACGCGGCAGCGACAGGAACAGGTTTTGGCTTTGGGCAAAGAAAAGGACTAGACAACTCCCAACATGGACATGTTGGGCACAGAGAATTCAGATCCTCATCCGCGGCCAAAGTGTCCTGCCGCGGAAGAACCGCACAACTCCCCCGGAAACCGAAGACGCAGATACGCGGTTTCTACGCGAGGAGACGCGGGTCAAGACCCTGGCCGCCATACCCCCTCCGCCACCGCCTCCACTCGGTTGAATCCTACCTGATGATGCTGAGGTCGGAGAACAATGCCCGAAAACTGCATTTTTCGGCCCGTTAACCGCGGGCATTCACGGAGCGGCGTCCACGGCCACGCTGCGTCGCGTCCGAATTTTTCGGAGGAAACCTAATTCCTGGGCGGTAGGGTTGAGACACGAATCTAACGGCTCTGGATCTCCCTTCCGAGGAAGCCCTTTTGAGCCCCGGGCCCGGGCGAGACCACACTTGTCGGAAACTCTTCCGCTTATTGTAGCGGTTTCGAGAATTATGAGGGGCCTTGTCACAAATGTCACTCTTTCCGGATTCGGCCCGAAGCCCTCTGCCTTCTCCGAAGCATATTTTCGTAAATTTGTTTTGAATATTAATTCCGTAATCTTGGGCGATTCCTGTCAAATGGGCTTAACGCCTTCCGCTCTCTCGGCTCCTCGGGTGGGTACACGAATAAATTAGACAATAGCGAAGCGTGAGTGATCGATTATCGATATTTTCCCATTTGAAGCTATGGTGAAGAATCGATTATTAAGATACTCGTTGCCAACACCCTGATTATCGATCCTTTCCATTGGTTCAAATCGTAGATCAATCGATAAATTGCAAAGCCACTGCAATGAGGCTATTGGATTCCTTGACGTCACTCTTTACACTCCCACAAAGTGCTATCGCTCGACCGTTACGTCCATTTGAATAGAACTATGGCTCATTGATGAGCTGCTTTGGCCGGAGTAAAAATGTGCGCAAATTATCACTTTTGCATGAAACAAGATGCCTATAATCCTCCGAGAAAATCAAGTTGATGTGCCGTGAAAATGATACATTTTGGCAAACTGAATAAGAATAAGGTCAAAGAAAACTATGCGCCTTCCATCACATCGCTTAGGCCAAAAGCTCCTCATGGGTATTTTGCATGGGTTGATTATACAACAGTCATAAGGCTTAATTAAAGGTAGAATTGGTTATATTATGAGGGGTCGCGTTCCTATATCTATTTATTTTTTACTTCTCAAAATCAGTTATGAGACACGGCTTTACCACTGCCGCACTGAGGAAGAACGCCGTATGAACATTCGAGGGTTGCAAAATTTCCTTCCATACAATGATTATTTTTGAGGAAAGTTATGAATATTTTTCCTTGACATTTACAAGAATTTAAGGTCAAATTACGAGCAAAATGTTCCGAAAAATTGAAGGGAAAATATTTACAAAATTTCCCAAAAACTCGTGATTGGTCAAATGAAGTTTGGCAATGTCTGAAGGCTCATACAGCGTTTTTCCTTAGCACGGCAGACTAGGTTAGGTCTCAATATTGAAGGACAAAAATCTCTCGCTGAGGGACATGAGGGTGGTTTGGAAATGATGTCAAATCCAAATCAAACGGCGCTCCCAATTCTATCGGGGCACGCTTCGAGCGACGATTTATGGAGTAATTATAAGGAGAGAGAGACGCGAAGGACGGGAGGGAGGGAGAACAACCTGTAATTGATTATAACGCTAAGTTGGGGAAAGTTTTTACGATCCCCGCTGCTGCGGGCCCGTGTTTTTCTTCCTCTCCGATTCGATTACTTCGTCATTTTTCTCCCCGCTGAGCCCTCCCTCGGCTAAGATTTCAGCTCCGTCAGAATTCCGCGCTTGAGTTATAAGTGAGATTGGTTGTTCTGGTACAAATAACTGCGAAGCACGTGACTTGCAAGCCCCCGCGGAAATGAGGGAGGCTAAATCTCGTCGGGCTAATTTCCTCTCTCTGCTTCCCGAGATGGCGATAGCGATACTGAACGATCCAGACCCCACATAGTTTCAGCGCTTTATGGGGTCCAAAAGAAAAATCGAAAATGAGAAAATATACATTTATTGACCATTTTTTCAATTACTTGGTTTGGATCGTTCATAAAATACGCAGCGCTGAATTTCGGATTTTCCAACCCCCTTCAATCCCTCACGTTGGCGACGTAGGTCCTTATCCTTTGACCTGCTAAAAAGAGAATTACATGACGTTCTCCTTGACTCCCACAAAGCGTTATGTATTTTATGAACGACCCCTTATTTTTCTTCGGAAAAGAATCTGAGAGGTAAATTGATGGACGTGAGATGAAGCTGTCCACTGTTATTAATATACAGAGTACTTGGAGTTTTACTTGGGCTAGAATTGAAATTCATACGACTCAAATAAAATATAAAACTTGATAAGTTTTAAGTTCAGATCATCATTTGTGTCCGTTTATTCAAAATAAACACATTCAAAATTAAGCTAATCATGAGTCAAAGTCACCTTGTGTCTTGGTATCAATCAAGACTTTATAAAATTAAGCGGGCAGCTACAAATGACTGTTTTCGGAAAAACAAATTGACTGAGACCATCTTCCACACATTTCGGAATTCTTCAAGACAAAAAAATGATAAAAAAATTATTTTCAATATGGGAGTGAAATATATAACGTCCACAAACACGTCGAGAAATACAAAAAATTGAATTACAAGCTAATACGCGGAATAGGCTTGCGTTCGAGACAGGAATTCCGGTCTCCCATTAGTAAATCATACTATTCCTTGAAAAAATAAAGGCGGGGAGAGCAGAAATTAATCTCGGAGAGAACATCTCAATCTACCTGTTCGAATGTGGGTCATTGCGGACACGATCACGGCGCGATTAATGAGGAGCAGAAGTCGAGCATTAGCCGACAATTTGTCAGAATGGCCACTCGATCAAACAACTACATTAAAAATAGCTTCATTAACAAAAGGGAGATGTAAACGGTACGCACTCCCGTCAAAGGGGGAAGATAAATGCAAAACATAAAAAAAAGAGAAAGAGAGGAGAGGCGGAGAAGTTGCGAGAGAGTGAGCCAAAACAGAGGCATCGGACCCGCCGAGAGTTACCAAAGCATAGCCGAGAAATGGAGGCAGGGCCCAGGACTCCCATCCCCTATGCACGCAGGATACATTCCTGCAGAGAGGCAGTCTCCTCGCAGAGGGGAAGGTATTGTATAATATCTGTCACAAACATAGATGAAATATGTGGGCTGGATTCGTTCTCTCGGCCCTGGCCCGTAATCCAGGGCTTCCCAAACCGGGGCGTTCGCCACGCTCCCTCAAAATTCAAAAACAAACCATAAACAGCGCCACGCTTGCCAGGATCAAGAGTACCATTACACGTAATAAATTACTGGCGTTATTACACAACTTCGTTCGCACCTTCATAGTTCATGGACCCGTTCTCTTCATAATTTTGCAGTTTATTTATTTACTTTTTAGGCACTTGTATACGCGGCTGCTTCGGATCCTTCCCATTCACAACTACTTTCTGGTTATTTATGGCTTTATGACCCATGTACCTCATTAATAGGGATCCCTTCACCTCTAAGCTTCCTTTTGGACGAGAAGTCGCGAGTCATCAATATCATCAGATGAATGCGTTATCCTCACTTTATTATTCCAATAAAAAGGTCGAGTAGTACACCCTCAACCTTTCAGCACCCACGACTAAACCATTTCGGTTTTAGTAATTTGCCACCTCATCTTTGATAGGTGCGCTTTGATAAAATGCTGGATAACGAATAAAGGTTCTTTCGATCCGTAGCACTTGTAAGTACAGCAGGAAAAGACCCGTGCGTATCGGAGCTATTCCCGAGGTCGTTAAAAGAGAAAACATCATTAGTGAAAAATGCCCAAGAAGGTGGGCGTTCGGTAAAGGCTCGAAAAACGAATGTAAACAAAAATAAAAGTTGAAAACCACTTGAAATTACGAGGGTTGGTATTGGACTGTGGAGGCACGGCTGCCGAGTAGGCAGGAGTGCGGAGGGTGGAAATGTAACACGGCCCAA